CCTCCCTCTGCCGCCGCGGAGCCATGCCTGGAGCTGTGCGGCCAGCTGCCGGGCGGCAGCAGCTGCGTGGCGGTGGCCAAGCGGCATGCAGCCATCCCCACCTCCCTGCGCCCCACCGCTGCTGCCGGCTACGCAGCTCCAAGCATGGCTCCACAGCGGCAGCGGGAGGTTTTGGAGGCAGTCACCACTGGTACGGGCAGCCGCTGCCGCTTGCCTGTGGGGCCACCCGTGCCAGCAGTGACGGCCACTGTGTACAAAACCTCCTGCTGCTGCGGAGCTGTGCTTACCCCACTTACCTCTAAGATCCAGGGGCAAAGGGCATGGCTCCGCAGTGGCCATGCTTGCCCAGAAAGCCCCCCCACCCTACATGCAGACGCCATCGCAGAGTCCTGCAGCTAGTTGTAGGGCATGCTGCTGAATGCAAGCCCCTATCTCACCCCCTGGCCGGGCGGCACATATGTGGCCTGCACGTATGGTAGGAAGCTGTGTGCCCCTTGCTGCAGCCTGCCAGATGGGCTGTTCTCTCTGGGACCCTGTTCAGCCTCCATAGGGCCGGAGAGTGCAGGCAAGGTGGGGACGCAGTCAGTGTGGCTAACTGCACCTTGTCATGCGCCCACAGATGCACCGCGAGCAGGTCCAGGGAGGTGATCCTCCCCTTCTATGTGGCACTGGTCAGGCCGCAGCTGGAGTACTGCGTCCAGTTCTGGGTGCCGCACTTCAAGAGGGATGTGGACAGCATGGAGAGGGTCCAGAGGAGGCCACTCGCATGATCAGGGGGCAGCAGGGCAGGCCCGACGAGGACAGGCTACGGGACCTGAACCTGTTCAGCCTCCACAAGTGAAGTCTGAGGGGGATCTAGTGGCCACCTACAAACTGGCCAAGGGGGACCAGCAGGCACTGGGAGAGTCCCTGTTCCCCTGAGTGCTACTGGAAGTAACAAGGAATAACGGCCGTAAGTTGACGGGGAGTAGGTTCAGACTAGACATCAGGAGGCGCGACTTCACTGTCAGGGCGGCTAGGAGCTGGAACCAACTTCCAAGGGAAGTGGTGCTTTCCCCTGCCCTGGGGGTCTTCAAAAGGAGGCTCTGTTCCCTTGCAGTCTCAGGGCTCTGCACTGTGGACAGCAGTCCCAAGTCATGCTGTCTGCCACCTCCCGTCACCTGGCACCTGGCCGCCCCTCTGCCTCAAGCGTGGAGTTCCACGCGTGTGCTTGGGTCTGCCTGGCTGACACGGCTAGAGCAGCTCCTGCTTGGGAAAACAAACCCGGCCAGAGCTCAATGCCACTTCTGCCAGGTGTTCCCTGGGCTGCAGGTCCCTGTTCCCGTGTGCTTGTCATGTAATTGGCTGTGCTTTGGCAGCCAGACACTTGACAAATGGCCTGAGTCTAACCAGTGCCCGAGCCTGGTGGAGGGGACCTGCCCCGGCATCCTGGCCCTGGGGCTGGCTGTTCCAGAGCCAGTTGTGGCAGGTGCTGGGGCTGCCCTTGCCTACTGGAGAGCTGCCGGCTCAGCTGCTGCTCCTGAGCTAGGGGCAGAGTAGTCTGGCTGGGGAAGGAGGCTTCCACCTGCCATGAATCATTTTGGTTCTCGTCCCAGGATGGTCAGCACCTGCTTGTGCCGACAGTGGGCCTTTCACAGGCTGGTGCCCAGTGCAGCGCAGCATTGCAGCATGCGCTGGCAGGGGCCTGGCTGGACCAAAGGTGCCAGGACCTGGGGGTGGTGGGTGCAGGGACTATTGGACCTCCCCTCACGGTGCTGCAACCTGGTGTCTGGGGGTCGGGGCACTGTGGAGAGGTGGTCCACAGCTGTGGGTTAGTGTTCCCTGGTGCCACCGGCCATCGCTGCGCCTGCCTGGAAGCCAGAGAGGGTGCTGATGTCATGTGCCCCAAAGGGCCCCTGCCCTCCCTGGGAGGCCCTGGTGTCCCCTCCTGTGCTGTGCTGCTCCGTGCTGCTGCACCCTGCTCTGCCCCTCGGCCAGGTCATCTCCTCCAGCTGCTGCTGGGGGCTGCCGCAGGCACCTGCAGGAGCTGGCCACCCGCCTTCGCTTTCGCCTTCCCTGGTGCCCGGCTGCATCTCCAGCCTGAAGCTTCGTGAGCTTTGCAGAACCTGCTGTGCGTTGCAGCCTTTCTAAAATTAGCCTGCCCTTGCCTGACTGTGCAGTCACGTGGCCTGCGTTAAGTAGTCCAGCCCTGCTGAGTGGATACGTAGCTGCTGCCCCAGGCTACCCCTGTGTTGTCATCTCAAAGAAGCCATAGGAGTTCCCAAGCATTAGATACGTGGGTGCTTGGGCAGGCTGACACTGCTGCTGTGACAGCAAGGCGGAGAGCCTGGCAGCTGTGCACAACAACGGAGCTTGTGCAAAGTGTCTTCCACTTGTTTGATGGGGATGGATGGGCTATGAAGGCGCACACGCGCTTTCTCCCTCTGCATCACCAGCTCTCTGTGTTGCGTTGCAATTCCTTACATCAGATAAACCAAGGCGTTTAAACTGGACAGATGCAGGCCTGTATCAGAAATGAGCCTCTGATTGCTACTCGGTTAAATGCTGGACCCAACTCAGATTTTTTATTTCAGTTCTGGAGCCTCCAGGTGCAAGCAAACAACTTGCTGTTCTGCATGGGGCCAGGGCCTAGGCTCATTCATTCATAATGAATTTAGCACTTCTGCTGCTGCCTCTGCTACCAAAGCAATGAAGTTTCCTTGCGTTTCTGGAGCAAAATAATTTTCAGTTGTCAATTGGCTGTGGCCAGATTAGAGCATTTGCTGTCCAGCACTCCAGCTGGGCTACCCTGGACCACTGGCCATTACAGTCAGCGCCCGGCTTCACTGAGCTGGGATTTGCATGGTGGTTTAATTGGAGGTTGTGGGGCCACAGCTGAGACCTGTGGTGCTCTGTGGCCTGTCCCGACTTGCAGGAGGCACCTCTCCCTTGTCGCAGGGTGTGGAGCAGTCAGCCAGCTCGGGCTTGCCACGCCTGGCTGTCAGGAGGCTGTTTCCAGAGTCCTGCATTTGATGACTCTCCCTGTGCCCTGATGGGAGAGCCGGCTCATGGGGCCGTTGGGACAATCTAGCCTGATGCCTGGCGACACCAGCTCCATCAAACCTGGAGAACATCAGGGCTGATGTGAGAAATGGCCCTGGCAGCTGTTGCAGTGCCTAAGTGGTGCTTTTCTTGTCTGAATGTGTCTGGATCCGGTTCTGGTGCCTGGGTGGGGTTTGCTCCTGGTGCCTGGGTGGGGTTTGCTCCTGTCTCCTCAAGGGAAGGGCTTCTTTCTCTTCACAGCTCCCTGCTCTCAGGGCATCTCCTCGCCTCTTCCTCATCAGCTGAGTCTTCACACTCTTGGAGTCTGTCACCAGGAGCCTGTTTCCCATCCTTTCATCATTCTGGGTGCTCTTTACTGGAGCCCTCTTGGGGCAGGAGAGATGCCTGGGGTTCTTGCCAGGGGCCGTGATGCAGGCACAGGCTGTTCCTTAGGATCCCTCTCTGCCTCCCCAGGGTAGCTCCCAGCCCCTCGCTGCTGTTGCTGCCATTTGAGTCCAGCTGTCACTAATTACTTGTTTGCTTGTAGCTGGGGCTATGGAAGTGGCTGATTGTGGGGAGGGGCAGCGGAGTGTGGGGCTCAGACAGTGGTGCTGAGCACCTTCTGCATCCCGTTTAGCAGCCTGAGTATCCCTGTTACCAGAGCACTGGGGAGGCCCAGACTGAGCCTGTAATCTGTCTGGAGGGATCGATTCTGCCAGGAGCAGCGCTCTGCACGGCCTAGGGCTGGGGGAGCTGCCTGCACCCATGGGGAGGAGCACAGATCCTGACACCCAGGTGCCCAGAGCAGCCGGGATCTTGCAGAGCAGCCATATACATATCGCACCACAGCTCATTATCTTGTGTCACCTTCAGAGCTCTGCAGAACGTACGAGGCTCTAGAGAATCGCATCTGTCGTGTTGGCCCGTGCAGGTGAAATGTTGTGCCGTGCTCTGGTCCCGTCCAAGTCATTTTCAGGTCCTTAACAAGACTCAGCCCCGTCCTGCAAAAGGGGTCATAGAAAAAGATACAAAACCTCAGTGACTCCAGTAATTGCCAGGTACCGAGAGAGACGGGTGCACAACTTGATTGCGAAGGGTGTTTAATTGTTCTAAAGTCCTAATGGTGTCAAGACACAAGTTACACCAGCTTTGCAGAAACGTCTCAGGGAACCAAGATTCACTGTTAAAATTGTGCGGTGCAGCATCTGGGAAATCTTTAATAATTTTTCCTCAAGCAGTTCTTTCTTCCCGCAAGAAATATGAATGCATTAGTATGTGGATAGTATTAGCATGGTATTTCAAGCAGGATGAATGCATTACTGTTGCGTTGTCCTGTGTTTGCTCAGTGCTTCCCAGAGCAGGCACGCAGAGTTGAACAGCCACAGACAAAGGAAGCAATGTGCTGTGTAAAATGCCATTGCGATACACCTCCTCTTGGCCCCAGCAGTTAGTGTGGATCCAGCGTCTCGCTGGATTGCTCCATCAGAAGGAGGCATTGCCGACACGCGTCAGTTATTTCTTTGTGGTCTTGTTTGTTCATGGTCAGCGCACATGGCGCCCTGCTTTCCCGCGTGGCAGGAACAAACGTTGGAGGTGTTTCCTTGTTTGTGGCTTCCAAACCTGCCTCTCCAGCAGCTCCTCTTCCCCAAGGAGTTCTGGGCCTGCTCCCTCTGGGGCTGCTGGCCATGCTCGACCCCTCTTGCCCATGCAGACACGTGCAGCTGCAGCCTGCGTCCCTGCCTCTGTGTTTTAGTCAATCCCAAGGACATCCCGCTTTCTGCCCTCGTGTTCTCCTGCCTTGGGTAGTGGCTTCCGTGGCTTCAGCAATCTGACTCCCTAAGGGAGAGTTAAGTTGCATCTCCCACGTAGCTGATGGGAGGGTGGCCAGCCCCAGAGCCAGAGCTGCAGACATCCTGGCTCTGCTGGGGCAGAAAGTCTGTGGAAGACTGATGCTAACATGCCTCTTCTCCCCTCCCCAGAAAAGCCATGTCAGGTGGAGCAGCTGGACCGGATCCTGCTCTCGGGCATCTACAGTGTGCGCAAGGGAAGGACCCAGCTGCACAAGTGGGCAGAGCGCCTGGTCATCCTCTGTGGCACCTGCCTCATCGTGTCCTCCGTGAAAGACAGCCACACGGGGAAGATGCACATTCTGCCGCTGGTGGGAGGGAAGGTGAGGTGTGGCGTGCGGGCCAGCGGAACAAGGAAACCACCAAGCTGGGGTGGCCCATGCCCAGACCGTCCTGGGGGCAGGAGTTCTGGATACAGTTGCACAACTCCCCCGTGCTGTGTTGTGCAGCTGCAGGTTTCACAAGCCTGTGGCAGCAGCAGTAATGCTACTCTTGTGCAGTCAGCAGCATGAGCTGGCTCACCCTGCCCTGCCCCTGTGATCGCTGACTGGGACTGTCCCTGCCGGGAGGCCTGGAAAGATGCTTGTCGTCGCTGCCCAGCAGGCCCAACTTAGCCACTGCCCTTGGAGCAGAGCAGAGTCCCTGCCCTCACAGCCCCCCCACTTCGTCCCCCTGCTCCCAGAGCTGCTGGGCTGTGATGCGGCTCCTTTCTCCTGTTGCAGGTGGAGGAGGTGAAGCGCCGGCAGCACTCGCTTGCTTTCAGCTCCGTGGGGGCACAAGCGCAAACTTTCCACGTCTGCTTCAACACACCCGCAGAGTGCCAGCGCTGGCTCCGGCAGGCTTCTACGGTGAGGCCCAGGCTGCGGGGGGTTGAGCTGTGGGGCTCCAGGGTGAAAGGGAGGGGGGTTTGCTGAGTGATGGCCCAGACCTACCCCGGAAATTGCTAGGGGTGTGCCAGGATCACCTCCCAGCATCCCTGCACAGCTCATCTCTGGGGACACTGGCTGAGCTGTTGTCTGCGGCCCTGAGCAGCTGGATGTTGCACGCCAGGGCTCCACTGAGGCTGCTGCCTGTACGGCACCACCAAGCCATCATCCTGCCCCGGTGCCCCGTTGCAGCCGGCGCCTGCTTTTCATAGACATTAGGCCTGGAAGGGACCTTGGAAGATCATTGAGTCCAGACCCCTGCCCCAGGGGCAGGAAGTCAAGGGGCATGCTGCCGGCCTTCAGAGTTACTCCCAGGGTGGCCTCTTCCCTTAGCAACAGTGACCCACAAACTGGACCCTGCCCTCACTGCCTCTGCCAGAGTGGTACACAGAGCTGGCATGAAGCTGCTCTGGGGCACAGAGGAGTCGGCGTGGCCAGCCTGTGAGCTGAAGGGGCTGGTCAGTCCTGCCACCTCGTTCCACATTGGAGCACTTGGACAGGAGTGGCCTCTGCGCTAAAGCCTGGTTTCACGTGGAAAGCCTGGTATCGGCTGTGGCCAGGAATGGGTTCTGGGCTGGGTGGGCAGTGGCGCAGTTCCCATGTGCCAGCTCAGGCTGTGGACAGCAGCAGTGTCTGCATGGGATGGGGCCATCTCCCAGCATTGCACAGCTGCTTTGCCAGCATCTAGTGTCCTGTTCTGTAGGCCGCAGCTTCCCTGTGCCCAGTGGGCGTCCAGGGCTTCCTGCACTACCTGGGCCGGTCTCAATGGCAGCAGTGCTGCTGAAGCGCAGCCTGCGGGGTCCCTGCATGCATTGTCTCTGCTAAGGATGCTCCCATGTTACGAACCACCTGCAGAGCGGTGCAGAGACCCCTGGGCACAGTGCAGCTGCCTGAGGCCTCCATGGGCTTGCAGGCCACTGCTAGTTCAAACAGCATCTCTAGTCTCCTGTGGGGTCTGGCCTGTTCAGCCATCCAGACCTGGCCCAGCCCCTTCCTGACCTTCCGTTATCCTTTCCGCTTCATTTCCCTTCCAGGGCTTTGGCCCTTCACAGTCGCATCCCAGGCTCTTGCTGCTGGCAGCTTTCGCAACGAGAGCTGTCCCCACCAAGGGTTCTTCCCTGTCGGTGCTTGGGGACTGTGGAGAATCCTCTGACGCTCTGGAGCACTCTCACTCCGAGCACGGCTTCTAGCTCGGTCCCCTGGAAGGACCAGCGTTGTCACCATGCACACGTACCTTGGCCACCAGCCCGTCCTGCCCAGATGCAGGGGAATGCTTCACAGTCTGAGGGCAGCCAGCTGCCATAAAACTAGGCTGGCTATAGAGCCCAGAACAAACCGTCCAAGGTCTGAGGACAGAAGATCGTGACCATGGAAATGACTTCAGAGGAGGCCCAGTTTTGCAGAGCCTGGGTCAGTGCAGAAATGTTGCAAAGCTTCCTGGGGTAGATCTTTTCCAGCTTGATGAAAGTGATGTGCGAGTGCCCAAAGCAAGGGAAACCCTCAAACCCTGCACAAAAGTGCTGAGCTCTGCAGCACTGCTGGGGACTGCTGCTGTCGGCCCATCTGGTCTGGAACGTGCCCCGCGCTGCACTGCGCCGCAGGGCAGCAGTTGGAGCCAAGAGTCAGTTGCTGTCCTTGCTAGGCTGGATCCCTCCTGCTGTTTGTTGTGGCTGGCAGCTGGGGCCAAAACACGCATGCAGCTCATACAAGGCAGCCCCTTTCCCTTTCTACCACCACCAGTCAGGGATGAGAGCGGTGACAAGCAGGCCGGGGTTATATGCAACGCAGTTAAAAACCGCTTTCCTGTGTGCCCTGGCCACCCCTGGCGGAGACCAGGATCTTGTTGCTGCCCTGTGCTTTGTCAGCCCCCAGCTTGTCCTGGCCTTGCAATTTACTCTTGACTTGATTCAGTCACAGAAAAGACAGCGCAGGCTGAACTTGGCCCTTGCCTTCCAGGTTGTGTCTCAGCGCCTGAGCACTGTGGACCTCTCATGTTACAGCCTGGAGGAGGTCCCTGAGCATCTCTTCTACAGCCAAGACATCACCTACCTCAACTTGCGACACAACTTCATGCACCTGAGTGGCTCGGGGGGGCTGGACTCGCTCTGCAGGTGTGTGCTGAACTGGTTCCTTTGCACTGGGGCCACTGGGTTACACCGGGGGCAAGGCGGCAGGAGCATGCAGAGCAGACAGGAGTCATCCTGGTCCCTGTGGCTCCTGCCCACTGGGAGGAGGGTGGCGTTTGAGAGGTGCTAGCTGCTGGAGACTGGGGAGTCTGAGTCGTGCCCAGCAGCGTGCCAGCGGGCTCGCACAGAGCTGTGCCTAGTGACTTGATGTTGCACATACAGATGCCACGGTGATTGTGAGGCCCTTGGCTAAACAGTTGGGTAGCACCATTTGCTGCAGGAGCAGCAGCCAAGAGGAGCCCAGTGCAGCGGTCATGCTGAGAGGCTTGTGCGTAGGGGTGTGAGGCTGAAGCACCTGTTCCAACAGGACTGCGGAGCTGGCCCATGCCTAGGGCAGAAACACTGCAGAGACCCTGGCTGCGCTTTGGGCAGCCAGTGCACGGGGGAGCGAGAGGCTTGGGGCCAGGTGGACAGCAAGCTCCGATTTGCAGGCAGTGACAGCAGGGGTGCATGGCCATGAGCAGGACAGGTTTGGAGCAGATCAGGATGCAGTGAAGCAGGGAGCAGACAAATGAGGGGTTCCTGGATTGCCCAGAGAGCTGGAAGGTCTGCAGCAGCACGGTTAGATGGCTGCACCCTGCAAGGCCTTGCTGCCTTTGGGGGAGAAATGAGAACAGGACATGCCTGTCTGTTCAAACAAAGCAAAGGGTGGAAATGGACGTTGCCTTAAAACATAAAAAAGTTTTACGGCAGCACAAAGGCCAACAAACATGTCTGTGCTCTGGTCACGTTGCAGATGCCCAAAATGAGCTGCAGCAAGGTGGTGCCTATCTGTGCTGCTTCACTGCAGCTGACATCTGTTAGGCTTATGGCGGGAGAGCGCAGCCAGCTTGGCACCGCCTGTGCTTTCCAGCCGCCCCAGCCAGGCACTCCTGGGGCTTCATGGGCCTGATCCTGGGTGCCCTGACAACACCCATTTGGGATTCCCCAGGTACCCATGAGCACTCTGGTATGGTCCCGGGCTGGGACCACCAGCAACAGATTGGCAGCCCCAGCCCCAGGACTGCACTGGAGTGTCAGGCTTGGTCTGGGGCAGTCCTGGGCGCATCTCTGAGCAGGGACAGCTGGAGTCTCTGGGATGCATCTGTCAGCAGGGAAGCCTCTCCTGTCCTTGGTCGCAGAGAAGCATCCTGGAGATTTCTAGGACATGTCTGTAAGCCAGAAACGCACCACTCGTTGCCCTGCAAATTCAACGGGTGACAGGCGATGTGTGTTTTGGCCAGCAAGGTGAATCTGCTGAGGTGAGACCCATGCCAGCGCCACTGATCCACTTCATTTGGCAACGTCTGCTTCTTGCCTGAGATGCTCAGGAAGGTTGCTGATCCTCTGTCTGACGTGGAGGATGAGAGATGGGAAGCTGCTTGGTTGCAGCACCTCTTCCAGGGAGGTCAGCTTTGCCCAGAGGGCAGCTGCAGAGAGCCTCTGCCCCTCCCCACAGGGGGTAGATGGCAGAGGCAGTTTCTGTGGTCAGTCACGCTTGAGACATGGAGCTGCTGCCATGAGCTTCCTTCTCACCTCCCCTGCAGGCGTGCAGGACCTAGCAGCCAGGTGCCTTGTCACAAGGCAGCTTTGCTGTTGGTATTCATGCAGGGCTTAGCGCCGCGCTGTCCAGGCAGACTCGTCCCGCTGTCCAGGGCTGTGAATGGCAGAGGCCGTCTGAAGAGCAAGAAGTGGAGGTTGCTTGTCTGGAGCAGAGGCCCTCTGAGATGAGGGACCATCTCTCCCTCCTCAGAGGTCAACTTAGCCATTTGCTAGGGTCTCCCTGTGGGGACATGGCGTCAGCAGTGGGCGTCTTGGCATTGTAGCCCTGTCAAGCCTCAGAGGTTTCTTTCGCTGCATGTGCACCAGATGTGCCCCCCTCCCACTGCGTTGGCCCATGTCCCAGATCGCTAGGTCTCCCGCCAGTGCCGTGTGGCCAGGCCGTTCCGTTCCCGTCCCTGCTCCACCCTTGCAATCATTCAAAGGTAGGCTCGACACCACTACCCCCTGAGGGCCTGTCTCTGCCATGGTGCAGACAGACAGTGCCTGTTTGCTCTTGCCTTTCAAGAAGAGCCTGTGGTGCGCTCATGCTTTTGTCAGCAGTAGCTTTCTGTGCACCTGGGGCTCAGCCTGGTGCTGGAGTCACCGGGCTGGAGGGGAGCGTGTGTTACGTGGGCTGCATCAGAGCTCTCATGCTTGCCTTGGTGTGCACACAATCATTGTAGCCCATGCGTGTAACTCGTGCTCTTGCTGTGTAGGTTTTCTCAACTGAGGGGCCTGAACCTGTCTCAGAACCAGCTGGGGGAGTTTCCCACATCGCTGTGCGAGATCCCCACGCTGACCGAGCTCAACCTGTCCTGCAATGGGCTCCATGACCTGCCCAGCCAGGTCGGCAAGCTGCTGAAGTGAGTATGTCCCCTTTGCATTCACAGACCCCGTGGTTTGGGTACAAGTGTGGCCCATGGGGTGGGTCCCCATGTCCCATGACCCCTCTGAGAGGTCCCCGTCTTCACCACTCATTCACGTAGATGCATCTCAGGAGGAAATGGTGGCAGACTGAGAGCCAGGTGTGCCAATTCTCTTGCTCTCAGTGGTGAATGGAGTGCAGATAAAGGTGGTCAGCGAGGGTCTTGTTGCTCCCAGATCAGATGGGAGCAACTTGAGCAGCTTCCCGCTAGCAGCGGCTGCTGCTCACCAATGGAGCTGTGCTTCAGCAGCTTATGGTTTGGACAGGGCTGATCCTGCCTCAGGCTGGGGCTTGGCCTAGATGAACTCTGGAGGTCCCTTCCAGCCCCGCTTCTCTGAGTCTATGGCCCCGAGCTGCCCATATACCATGCTGCCCTTCTCAGGATGTGGTTGTTGCAGCTCACAGCATAATGGAGTCCATTTCAAGTGTGAACACACTGATTTAGCAAAACAAACCTAAGGTAGGCTTTGCCCGCAGGAGGGCACGGTCCAAGGACGCAGAATAGGAGCGATGTTGCTTGCTCCATTTTTGCAGTGGCTGTGCATCCTTACGGCCAGACGTTGATAGTTGTTCTGCAGTGTTTCTCAAGGAGTGTAGGATGTTATCTTTCATGCTGATACTGTTTCCTTAATGGTCTCTTGTCTTTAATGACTTGAATTTGGCCTGCAGCAACTTCTTGGCAAGGCCAGGTCAATGGTTCTGTCAGCACCCAGGTCCTGTGTGTCTGCTTAGATGAGCAACACAGCGCTGCTCGAGCGCAACATGCAGGAAGAGCCACTTGGCTGTAAAATCAGAGACCTTGCACAGCAGAGCATGGGTTCAGTGGGCAGGTACTAGTGCACGCTTGCTTTGCCCTACACTTTCATCATAAACGCAGCTGGGAGCTGTGTGCAGCACACTGTCGGTACCACACATGTCCAAGGATTTGGGATTCCATAGAGGATCCCGCACTGCGCTGGTTTAGAAGCAATGTGGGACCATCATAATGATGCCTACTCAGTAGAGCACAGAGCAAAGGTTGCCTGTGTTTTAACTTGGCGTCGCCTCCTTTGATTGCTTTGCTGTGAGACCCTTTATTTGGGTGGCTCTAATCCAGTCTTCAAATGGGACCTCCTGACTGTTGGTCCGTCAGGAAACAAGATGTTCCCTCCTGCAGGAATGCCTGCAAAACCCTTCTGAGGGGCCTGTCCCACACACCTGCAGGGTCTGTGGGAGTGATCCTCTTCCTTGTCCAGCTTTGTCTGTTGGGTGCTCAGGGGCTTGCAGGGAAAATGTCTGTGCCAGGCTGCTATCCATTTTGCTAGAAATGCATCGGTGCCAACATGCTAAGGGCTGCCACGGAGCTTGGACTCGCTCCCTGGGCATCCTTGCGAAGAGGGCAGTGTGTAGGCAGGCTGGCCGCACTGCCAGGCATGCGCGGAGCAGGTGTGTGTGGGTGAGCGGGGCCGGCATGTGGTGGCTTTCTGCTTGGTCTTCTCCGTGGCTTCCCTGGCCTCTTTGGAGAAGACGGTTCCCTTTGTAAAAGCCAATCCACTTTGTAGCATGGGCACTGTGCAGTGGTGTGGGACACCGTGCATTGCTGTGGGGCTAGTGCTTGCACTGTACCTGCTGTCCCTGGGTTAGCTGACTGACTGGGGATAGCGGTTGTGTCTGTGTTGTGTTTTTAATGGCTGTCACAGAGGCTCAAGCACTGGGGACTCTTAGACTATAGAAATCCAAGGGAGTAAGTGTGCGCCATGTGCTCAGTGAGCCAGTGTGACAGTGCTTGAGTTATTTTTACTGCCACTTATTTGGGGAACTGGTAGCTCCCAATCCAGCTGCAGCTCAGTCCACTGCTTTGCAATGTGCCAGTTTAGACCCCAGACTCCTTAGGTGAGCAACAAGGAGTGAGAAATGTCAGAACTGCCTGGCAGAGCTCCCTGCGCCATCCTTGGCGAGTGTGCCCTATGGCATCGCTGTAAGTGCAGCGTGCAGACAGGAGCCCCGTTCTCAAAGCTCCCTGCCTCTGCCGGTGGCACAGCTGGTCCAGTGCGGGTCTCAGCATGCCTTGCCTCTGCTAAATGTGAAACCTGGCTCACTCCCACCCCTGAGCCCTCTCCATCCCTCATCTGTGCAGTCTTCAGACCTTTGCTCTCGATGGGAATTGCCTCACGACCCTGCCAGATGAGCTTGGATGCCTGCAGCAGCTCAGCTCCCTGGGACTCTCCTTCAATGACTTCCACGATCTGCCAGCCGTCTGTGAGAAACTCCTCGCCTTGGACAAGCTGGCCATGGCGGGGAACCAGCTGGGGACCCTGGACTTGGGTGCACTGAACAGAATGAGCCACATCAAGCATGTGGATCTGAGGTGAGCTGCTGGCAGGTGCCCTGCAGGAGGGCTGTGCAGTGCTCTGGCCCTGCTTAGGGGTGTAAAGAGCCCTAGAGAGCCAGGCTGCTTGCACCAAGCCAAGGCCACGGAGCAGTGGTCAGGACTCGGGGTGGGGGGTGGGGGTCTGAACCACTGCTCCGGTGCCCCCTGAGCAGGGAACGTGCTGGACGCGCCTCAGGGCGGCTGTTGCTGAGGTTCCCAGCCACCAGCTGTGGGGGCTGTGCGCCATCCCAGGACATGTGGCAAGGGCCTTCTCTGGATGCGTGGCTGTACAGGATGGGTCTGACTGCCAGGCTCAGGCTCTGGCCAGTTTTCTCTTAGCAAGTGTTACTCGCCCAGAACCAGCCGCACGGCACTGAACGCTGCACATTGGGCCCTGGGCCTGCTGGTGCATGCCCCTGCCCATAAACCCCACTCCTGCCCTGGGCTGCTCTCCAAGCACCTGCTCCTTGGCCTAGGTGTCAAGTGGTCCCTCTCCCTACTTCCCTCCTCCCCTGACCTGTGGACCCTGAACACTTAGACTGAACCAGCTGAAGGGGGCATCTGCTGACAGCCTGGAGGGGAACAAGTCTGTGACCCACTTGGATGTGCGGGACAACCAGTTGGCAGAGCTGGACCTGAGCACCCTGGGCAGCCTGGAGCAGCTGCACTGCGAGCGGAACCGTCTTCAGGAGCTGACGCTGAGCGGCTTCTCCCTGCGGGCCCTCTACGCCAGCCACAACCGTACGTCTGCTCTGCCCTGCTGCTGGGCGCTGGGGGCCGTGGGGAAGGCGTGGTGGGTCAGACCCTGGGTGCTTGGAGCTCCTTGCACAGCTCTAGCTGGTGCGTGAGCTCCTGCAGTTCCTGTAATGGCACATGCAGTGGCTGCCTTGTGGGGCAGGGCCCTGTCACAGCATCTAGCCTCATGAGGGACAGTTTGTGGCATCTCCCTACAGCTGCCTTGGGTCCATGCAGGCATGCTTCTCAGTGGGAGGCCTTCCCTGCCCCCAACTCACCCCCAGGTGCTGCCGCTGTAGGAACAGGAGCCCCCAGGTGCACATTGGCAATACCCAAGGAGGGGCATGGCACGGCCTGGCTTTGCTGCCAGGCCTGCTCCCCTCAGCACCGCGCTCATGGTTGCCTGTTTCATTGATCAGGTCTGACCGCAGTCAGTGTTTACCCAGTGCCAGGCCAGCTGACCTGCCTCGAGCTCTCCTGGTAAGTAGCTGCCACCGTCAGGCACAGCGCCGGATCCTGGGCTGCTGGGAGAACTTGGGGGGGTGGGGGGGGTGTTGCCAGGGCTGTGCCTGGGGCAGCTCCTGTGGAGCGGATGCTATTGATTCCAGGGTTGCTGCTGCTCTGTGCCCGCAGGGAGCTTGCAGGGAGCACAGCTGAACTGTTGCATCCATGAAGCCAGTAGCTCAGGTCTCCTCCCCCGCCCCCAAGACGTGCTTCCAGCAAGGCAGCATCTGCCCCTGCCCCTGCACTGCACCCTTCACTGTGCACACGCTGATGCCCACAGCATCTCCCTCTGGGCCCAGGGCTTGGCATGTTCCTGGTGCTTCCTTTTGATGGCAGGAGGCCTGTATGCCTTGAGCACCTGCACGGGGGAGTTCCCCCCCTCAGCATCGGGACGGTGGAACCTGGCCCTGCTCCCTCCCTGCACGAGTGCGGCTCTCCTCTGTGGAGCTGAGCCCATCTTAGGTAGTAATGGGACAATAGGGATGCTTTCTGTATAGGCCTCAGCACCCCTGTGAGGTGTTGTGCCAGGGTAACTGCCCTGGCTTGGTTCCTGCCTTGTCACAAGCCAGCATAGCTTCCCTTGTGGACGGCCTGCTTGTCCTGGGAGTGTCTCTGGGTCATGGTGGGGAAGGCTGTGCACTTACTGGTAGAAAAGGCCTGTGACCACATCTGTGTCACCTGCTGTATTAGGCAGCGTCTCATTAGGGTATCTGATTTGTAGCACACAAGAGTCAGGCGAGGCTCAGTCCCCTTCGCAGCCAGACAGCCTCAGCAGAGAACGGAGAGGGTTCCTGAGAAGTCAGAGCTCATCTATGTGCTTATCACCGTGGCAGTGGCATGTCACGCCTGCGTGGGTTTATGGCCTGCTGCAGTCCGCGGACTTTCCCCTTGCAGCGCAGTGGGGGCCATGCACTCGCACACGCACACGCACACGCACGTTCTTCCTTCGTGCAGACTCCTGCTTCCCTCGGGGTGGATTTATCCAAGGCAGAAGGGAGGTTGAGCCAGGCCAGGATTAGCAGCAGGAAGTCAACAGGACTGAGGCTTGCGGGCCTTGACCACGGCTCCATTGCAGCAGGGTGCTGACCAGGTCCCACAGATGTGGAGCCAGAGCCTGGTGGTGTTTAGGGCTGGCAGAGAGGGGGCAAGCATGTGTCCCGAGGAGGCGGCTGGCAGCACGGGGTTTGCCCTGTGCCAGTGCTCCAGCAGTGTGCTGCAGGCAGAGGCGTGCCCATAGCATGGCAGGTGTTACCGCTGCTCCCATCTGGGTAGCTCAGGTGGCCAGAGCCTCCTGCGCCAGCTAGTGACCAGCAGGTGTGCCCGGGTGCCCAGCACTGTGTACTGCCTGTGGGAGCTGACAGCTGTGCTGCTGCCCCCTTCCCGGCCAGCCTGGTCCACCGATTAGCCTGAGCAGGTGTCAGCAAGGTGTCCTGCTCTGGTCCCTCCTTCTGGTGTGGGGGAGGAGTGAGGTACAAGTGACCTTCTGAGACTGCAGTGAGCTATGCAGGAAATGCAGCACCTCCTCTGATCAGCACTGGGAGACTGGCGTCAAAGGAGAAGTAACACTTCCCTGACCGGCTGCCTCTGCCCCCGTGGGACGTGACTGGGTGACTGGCTGCCTTCTCGGTCACTGGCTCAAAGGTGCCTGCGTCAGGAGACCCTGTTCTGGTGCTGTTGGCTGGGCCACGGGGTAGGCAGCTCAGCACAGGCCCTGGAGAGAGCCCCGCATCTCACTAGTGCTGATCCATTCCCCTGCTGCCAGGCTTAGCAGAGACCACAGACCAAATGGCCCCTGATCTGACTTGCCCCTTCCTTCCCACGTGGGCCCACATAAGGAGGTTGCTGCTGGTGCTGTAGGTGAAACAAAAGGCTTGTCGTTAGGACATCACCACTTCTACACCCTACGCTAAGTAGCTCGACTTAAGTGACCACTGCCTCCTGGGCTGGTCCGGCTGCCCGTAGGCTCGTGTTGGGTCCCCACCCCACTGAAGCGCTGCAGTAAAATGCCCGTGTGGGCAGACCCTGAGCCAGGAGAGCTCCAGGTCGTGCCACCCCCTGCCACTCGCATGTTCTCCTATCTCCTACCAGGAACCAGTTGCAGTGTGTCCCTGACTGGGCCTGTGAAGCAAAGAAGCTGGAGGTGTTGGACCTGAGCTTCAATCTCCTCACAGAGCTGCCGTCAAGGTAAGAGGAACCCCCATCCCTGCCAAAAGCTGGGACCCCCTCCAGGGCGTGAGCTGGGAGGGAACTCCCAGCCCTGCGCTTTCGGTACCAAGCTGCTTTCTTGCATGATGGCTGCTGGTCAGACTCTTTGTAGCTCCTGGGGCCAGCAGGGAGGCAGAGTCCTCTCCCTTTCAGCATGACAGGAGCCAGAGAGTTTACCCCATGATGCCAGCCTCTGCACCAGCAGTTCATGGTAGAGCAGGAGCGTTAGTGCTGTGCTATCTTAGTGCTTGGGGTACCAGTCGTGCGCTGGGGCCGCGGTGTGCTAGGGCCCTTGCAAACACAGAGCAAAGATGACTCTGAATCCTAGCTCTAGCCTCCAGCTTATCTAATCTGCAAATTTGCTGAGGGTGCACTCCATCCCATCGTCCAGATCTCTGATGAAGATATTGAACAAAACCAGCCACAGGACCAACCCCTGGGGCACTTCTCTTGATACCAGCTTGATTACCGGCTGCCAACTAGACACTGAGCCGTTGATCGCTCCTGTCTGAGCCCATCAATTCAGCCAGTTTCTAGCCACCTGACAATCTGTTCATCCATCCTATACATCATCCCATTTCAAGAGGGATGTGGACAACATGGAGAGGGTCCAGAGGAGGGCCACCCGCATGATCCGGGGACAACCGGGCAGACCCTACAGTGAGAGACTGCGGGACCTGAACCTATTCAGCCTCCACAAGAGAAGGCTGAGGGGGGACCTGGTGACCATCTATAAACTCACTAGGGGGGACCAGAAGGGTTTGGGGGAGACGCTGTTTCCCCTAGCGCCCGCTGGCATAACAAGGAGTAATGGGCACAAGTTGATGGAGAGGAGGTATAGATTGGACATCCGCAAAAACTACTTCACAGTTAGGGCGGCTAGGAGCTGGAACCAACTTCCAAGGGAAGTGGTGCTGGCCCCTACCCTGGGGGTCTTTAAGAAGAGGCTGGATGCCTACCTGGCTGGACTCATTTGAGTCCTGTTTTTGTTTTGGGGTTTTGTTGTTCTCCCGCCCTGGCGGGGGGTCGGGCTAGAAGATCTACTAGGTCCCTTCCGACCCTAAATCTATGAAACTATGAAACTATACTTCCGTAGCTTTCCTAGTTTCATAGTTAGTAGGGTGAGAAGGGACCTGAGCAGAGCATCGAGTCTGACCCCCTGCCATGACAGGAAAGAGCACTGGGGTCAAACGACCCCAGCAAGGTG